TTAAAAAAAAAAAAAGAATATCTGGAAATGAAACAAATGAAAGCCAAATGGCCTTCATGAAAATTGACCCATGACAGTGGCCTCATTAGCATGTTGCTCTAACCAACCAAGCTAAACAAACAGCTCTGAAAGTAAAATACACCAATGCTCAAAACCTTATCATGAAAAAGCACACTTTTAATTAGAATGTTACTCCACTCATTCAACTATCAGGCTTTTAAAAGCAATTTCAATTATATAGCCTGAACCCAAAAGGGAAAGGCCTTGGAAGTCAAGGAGAATAGCTTTCCAAAACTTTACATCTTATTCCAAAGGAAAGGTACCTGTAAGACCATTAGCCAGACAACTGTATACAAGAAAACCAAAACTGGGATGTCTGGGTGGCTCAGATGATTACATGTCCAACTCTTGATTTCGGCTCAGGTCATGACCTTGCAGTTTGTGAGATCGAGCCCCACATTGGCTCGTTGTTGACAGCACAGAGCCTGCTTGGGATTCTCTCTCTCCCCCTCTCTCTGCCCCTTCCTGCTCATGCTTTCTCTCTTTCTCAAAATAATTAAATAAACTTAAAAAAAAAAAAAAAGGAAAACCAAAATTACTTATAACTGTACTACCCATTATAACTATCATTAACATTTTGAGATATTTCCTTTGATTTTTCTGATATATGTAAAATAAGTTCGGGTTATATTCTGCATACAGTTTTATATCCTGCCTTGTCACTATATAATGACTATTCTCATATCTTCAAATATATTTCATGCTCTACCATTTGTATATACCGTTAATTAACCACTTTCCTATCTTTGGACATTTAAGGAACACTGCAACTGTGCATGTACACGTGTACGTAATATATATTTTGCACATCTTGTATTTCCTTCCAGAAAATAAATTTCAACAAATAGAATTACAGCATCAAAGGATACTGATATATTTAAGGATCTTAGTATTGTCAAATTGTCCTACATAAAGCTGAGGTCAATTTACATTCCCACCAATAGTGTATCTGTGACCTTGTAACAGCTCTGAATCGTGCTTTAAATTTAAGTCACATCATTTTCTTTTACCTTCTCCATCTAAACCATAACTGTTTTTCTTGAGCCTGATATACTCCTGGCTTAAGATCTTTGGTCTTTTGATTACTCTGCCCATCCCCACTTGTACTTTAGGTAACTGAGATCTAGAAGTCGATTTCGTTCAACTGTTCCAATATTTTTTAATCATTGATTCTTATTACGTGAGATGCTCCATCTCCCCAATGACAGGAAAAGTTTAAAACAATTTACATTGTTTTACATTATTTCAATTGTGATTGTGAAAATCCTCAAATTAAAGTAAAATTAAAACACTAGGTGTCAATTTACATAGGATTTTTCATGTAAGAGTTACCTCAAAGATAGTAAAACAATGTAAGTCCAAAATATTTTCAAATAAAGCTCCAACTTCAATTTGAAAACACAACAAGCATTTTGGAATCAAACAGCTGTAAGTCTGAACTCCACAGTCAGTTTGTGATTTCCTGGATCCATGAACTTATGTCTTTTTCATTCCAATAACCCCAGCACTTGGAATACTGTCTGGCACATAGCACCTCAAGTAATATTTGTTAAATAAATGAAAGAAAGGAATCCTCTCTGAGCCTCATTTTCCTCATATGAAAGAGAGGGGGATGCGTATTTTTATCCCATTGTGAGGAAGATTAAAGAGACAGTGTAACTGAAGGTGCCTAGCACAAAGGACTGACCCTCTGTGGATTACCAAATTAAGTGGTGATCACAGTCCTTAGAGTTTATAAAGAATTACAAAATACAAATCACAGAAACAATCTGAAGCAGCTACTTCCAGTAACGAAATCTGAGATACAAAGCTAATCTAAATTATTCAAATGACTAAGAAGCATGCCTGCAAGAAGCACAATAAACTGATTTGGAAAAAATAACAGCACAAGCATGTTAGCAAACAGTCTATCAAATTTTAATTTCTTTAAAAGGACACATCTTATGAGATTAAAACTACCCATGTTACATCAAAGTATCTTTAATTTTTTGTGGGCTTTTACATTAATTACATTACATTAATTGTATTTATGGAGTACTCACGAAAAGGAAAATACTATAAAACGAGTTTCCCAGCATTAAACTGGGGAACTTGGGGGAACATTCCATAATCTATTCACTTCTCAATTCTTATTTTGCTAAATGTTTGTTTGTTTGTTTATTGATTTTGAGAGAGAGAGAGAGCACGAGTGGGGTAGAGGCAGAGAGAGAGGGAGAGAGGATCCCTGCTCAGCACGGAGCCCAACAAGGAGCTCTATCCCACACTGTGAGATCATGATATGAGCCAAAATCAAGAGTTGGATGCTGAGCCAACTGAGCCACCCAGGTGCCCCTATTTCCCATTTCTTGAATGGAAATTTCCTTTTAATTCAAGTTATATTTTAGCCTGTTTCTTTACTCCTGCTTTCAGACACCCAAAAGTAACCCAGGAATCAATTATTTAGAAAAGACATTTACAATACAAATAATCACCAAATGTCCCTGATGACTGTCCTACAACAGTCAAAAACTGATGGACAGAAGTGATACATTTTTACCAAATTGGCACACACTCAAGAGAAAGCCCACTTTAACTCAGAAACCAACAATATTTAATATCTTTAACACAAGTGCACCAAAACAATGACCGGATCTACCACGGTAAGGTAGATCCCAAATAAAAATTTTTAAAGGATTCCTTGAATAGTTTTAAATTTCAAAATGCACAGATCTCCAGGCCCTTAACTCCAGGCAATCTTTACAGTACCTACCCAGATGGCAAAAAGCTGCAGCTGGCAAGATGCTCCCCTTTCATGTTTCCTTAGAGCAGGTGTTAATGAGATCAAGGTCGCAAGTTCAATCAGGAATGCACCAGGTAACTTTGTTCAAAGAATAACTCTTATAGGCACAGAGGATATTCTCCCTAGCTCATTCCCCTTTACCCATCTGGTAAATGTGTGTCTGCCATTCGTTATCACTAATAAAAGAAATAAACTCAAGATGACATATTGATTCTGAGTCCAGCATTTTTGGGGAAAAGACCACATGTGCATTTGGCACCTAGAAATTACATTTGTTACCAATACTTAATATTGTCAAGAGTTTTAAGCTGCTACTGTTTTTGGAGGCCTGGTGTTTTTGGAGGTACCGTGGCCCAAAAGAGTCATTTACTTATTTATTTTACAGATTTTATTTTTAAGTAATATCTACACCCAATGTGGGGCTCAAATTCACAACCCGGAGATCAAGAGTCACATGCTCTACTGACTGGGCCAGGCAGGCAACCCCCAAAAAAGTCATTTAAGAAAAAGAAAGAGGAAGAGAAAGAGGAAGATGAAGGAGAGGAACTCCTCTAAAAATCCTCGATTAAACTTACTTGGAAACCTTGGCTCTTCCCTGGGTAAAACTACTTTTACACTGTCAGTTCCTAAGGGTTTGTAGAATAGGCTGAAGTTCAGGAATTTTTCTACATGGAGTCAAAGTCTGTTAGCCCCTTCCCATTCCTCCTTCAAATACTTGCCAACAGAAGAGAGAACTCTGAAACGTTCAGCCATGTGCCTTCTTTTGTTCAAAACCAAATCACCAATACTTAAGTACAGGTGCTCTACATTCATACTGCTAAAACCCAAACATGTTACCATAAAAAGACCAACTGCTATTAAGCAAGCTGCTTATACAACACCTTGTGTAGATTAAAATCCTAATACTATCAGTCCTCTTTTTTAAAAGATTCTTTTAGCCTCTCCTAAATTAGAACAATTATATCCCATCACTGTGGCCTTTTCGTTTCTACAGAGTGACCCAAATGTAACCAGCCTAATATCATATAAGACACATTTTGAAGTGTCTCATTACAGAAAACTAAAGCACAAAAAACTAAATAAGGCTGTTTCTTATGACCAGTAGAAAAGCCAAGGCATGGATTCAGATAACCCAAAAGAATCCCTGCCCTAAACATTGGCTTAAATGGTCTATGAAGCGAGGCAGAACAATAAAGTATGGCACTGGTAATCTAAACCAGATGTTCGTAAATGAGTGCTGGCAACATCGGTGGGATCCCAAGGCCTCCTGAAAGTGCTTTGGGGTTCCATAAATGTTTGGCTTGTACTCCATTTTCAAAGTATTCTTTATTTAAAAGCTATGATAATGTCTTTGTCACATTTATTAATGTGTAATGAAAAACAGCATACACACTCAACTGTGTTAAAAACCAAATGTAAACGCATCAGTTAAGCTGCCAGGCCACCTTGATTTTATGCAGACCCTGGAAGAGAGCTTCTCCTGCTGGCTTTTTCCATGTATATCAACTTCTTGTAAACATGTCACTGATTGGGAAGGCTGCAGCTCTGCACGGAACTCTTTAAAAACTCAGGTTTGCACATGGATGCTCATGCACACTATACCCAGGAATAGAAGTTACCTGTGGAGAACAACTTGCTCAATAGGATGCAATTAAAACAAACTATGAAAATAAATAAGAAGCTACAGCTGTAATTACAAGAGCATCCATAATCCAATTCCAAATTTAAGTCTCAATGTTCCCAATGTAGAAGAAATTTGTACCTTGGGAAGCAAATGTATGTTAATAAAGGATCACATCTCTGTAATTTTTTTCTTACCATGGGAAAAAAATTCAATTATTAAGACAGAAAAGGTCTGAATAGCCAAGTAATAAATTTACAGATTTTGAATTTTTTTCTACACCATAACAATCCATAGGGTCAAATGATTCTAAAATCTCTATCGCCACTGTTTCTACAATGCTACAAATTTTACAGATCCTTTCGTACACAGACACATAAATTCTTTTAAACTTGATTTTGAAATTTAGGAAAGTAAGTATCTTCAATCGATTGTTTTTTTTCTCTTTCAGCTAACATTGCAATTGCATCCCTTTATTTACTGCATTGGGGTTTTTACGTTTATTTATTTGTTTTGAAAGACAGAGTGTGTGTATGTGTGTGCACTCGTGCCAGTGAGCAGAGCAGGGGTGGGGCACAGAGAGAGGAAGAGAACCCCAAGCAGGCTCTGTGCTGTCACAAGCAGGCAAGCACAGAGCCCTACTCAGGGCTCAATCTCACGGAACATGAGATCATGACCTGAGCTGAAACCAAGAGTCGGATGCTCAACCGACAGAGCCACCCAAATGCCCCCACGGTATTAGGATTTTCTAGGATTTTAGGATTTTTTGCAGTATGGCATTGCTTTCAAATTCCCAAACTGACAGAAAGGAAAAAGTTATATTTAACTTAAATGATGTCTTTGTCACATTTATTAAAATGCCTGAATTTGGAAAAGCTGTCTTGAAAAAGATTAAAAAGGAAAATTATAATATTAAATTATCCATAAAATAACAGCCACCTTTGAAAGGACATTCAGTGAGCCTAACACATGCTGCCTCAAACTTCCCCACCGAAATAATCCATAATAACATAAAATAGCCTTGGACTCCCATATTTGGACACTACAGCCTGAAGTAAATGTAGTAAAGAATGCAAATTTGTTTAATCTTTTCTCTCAAAAATCCTTTCATTAAAAAAGTCTGTTCAATGCAGTGGCCACTACACCCCAGTATGAGGCGCGGTCCACAGCGTGATGCGTTCTAATGTACGCCCATTTGCAGCAATTAAAACACAACTTTTTCCAGTTTATTCAACAGCAGCATTTATTCTTCCTTGAATGAATAACTTACATTTTCATGTTTCATATGTTTAAGTAACCGCAGTTCTCTGTAGGTCCTTTTGGCATGAATGATGGACTGAAACGGTCTGGAGAGCTTCTTCACTGCCACACGTAACCCAGTTTTTGTGTCAAAGGCAGCACTAAGGAAAAAAAAAAAACACAGGAAAAATTCATCATTAAATGTGCTTTAAATATTTCAAAATCAGTATTTATAAGGCTTTTCCTTTTTCAGATTAAATGGGTCTACACAAAGATACATAAAAAGTATAAAATATAAACATAAAAACTAAAACAACCTATAACCCCACTATCCAAAGTAATCTGTTAATTATGGTGTTTCCTTCTCATCTTTTTTTTGATGCATCTAAATCAGGGATCAGAAAATTTTTTCTATGAAGGACCAGATAGTAAATATTTTAGACTCTGGGAGGCTTAGGGTCTTTGTTACAACTCCTCAACAACTCTGTGGTCATAGAAAGCAGCTAGACAATAAATTTAAAAATGGATGTAGTTGTGTCCCAGTTAACTTGAAAATAAGCAGCCACTTCATCTACATGAGCCAATAGACTGATATATAAAGAGCTGGACTCTGTCTTCTCTGATGTAGCCTTCACTGTCACCTTGCCACCAAATACTGCCTGACCAGAGAGGAGGGCTTGGGATGCTTTCAGGGCAATGAGTTGGCACAACAATTTCCTGAGCATCTACAAAGTATCTGCCACTTTTTAGAAGCTTAGATGTAGTAAGGAACAGGTCAACAAATCTCAGCCCTCAGGGGATGGGGGTAGGGAAGAACAGGATAATAAAAATAATTTCAAATAGTGATGAATGTTAGGACTAAATAAAACAGAATGGGACAAATGAAGACAGCCAGTGGGGTTTTGCTACTTTAGCTAGAATGTCTGAGGAAGTACATTTGAGCTGAGACGACTGAATGATGAGAAAGCAATAGCCATATAAAGGTATAGGGAAAAAGAACGTCAAACAGAAAAAAACAACAACAGTATTATTAATATTTATGGAGTCTTTATCATATACCAGAAACTATTCTAGGCCCTTTACATTAATTTTTAAAATTAAAATTAAAATAATTTTTAATCCCTAACACCCCTACAAAGTGAATGCTATTATCATTCCCCCAGTCAGAAATTTGGAAACTGAAGCACGGAGAGATTAAGCAACTTGACCATGATCACAAAGCTAGAAAGTGGCAGGAGCAGAGAATCTGGATCCACAGCTCATGCTATTAACCACTTTGCCATGCTGCCTCTCAGAAGAACTAGTGCAAACAAAGGAAAAAAGAAACAGTGGTAGAAAAACTATGGCGTGCTGGAGGGCATAAAGATGGCCTGTGTAGGTGGGACACAGGGAGCAAGGGGAGAGTAGAAAAGAATGAGGTCAGAGGCATGGGCAGAGGCTAGATCATGTAGGACAACTACAGCAAGAATCCTGATGTGTATTTTAATTATTTTTAGAGACTGGGCTAATCCAATCATGCCGCATCCTCCTGTTTATCTCAGCCTCTAATGGGCATCCAAGACTTTGGGATCATCTACCATGACCAAACTCTTTCCCATGTGACTCTGTACTTGTTCCAGAAGTTCCCCTCCCTTCACTCCCAAATCCTTACACTATGTCCTTACTCTTCAACTCCCAATTTGTTATCAACTCCTGTAAATCTTCAACCCCTTTTCTGAGCCTTCCCTCCAACTCTTTGATTTAATTGAAACTAGGCTCTACCTTGAAGACACTACTTGTCTTACAGCCCTGCCCTTAGCGGGCACATCCCAGGTACCTCAAAGCTAGCAGGTGGGGCAGATGTCCTCCTTGCCAACCATGCCTACTTCCAGCCTCTAATTCTCCATTAGTTCCATTCTCCCTGCTGCTATAATCCACTGACCTGGAATTTTCCATTATTTACCAAAAAGTTAGTTCCTATCTCAAAGTCTCTCTCCACCCTCAACATCTGTCATCATTCTTGGCAACTTCAACATCCAGGTGGAAGGCACATCCAACATCCCGGCCTCTCGGTTTCCTGACCTCTCCAGGAAACTCCACCTCGTCCAGCCACCTCCATGGTCACACCCTGGACCTCTGTCTCCACCAAAAGCTGCCCTGCCTACACAATTTTGAATGCCAGCACCCGTTTTCCATCACAAACCTTCTTTGCCTTTCAGTTTACTTCTAGTTTAATTGTATCCTGACTACAACAATTTGTGGACCTCATCGTCACTGCCTGATTCGACCCTTCAAGCCCTCTCCCATCTTCATTTTCCTTCTCGCCTGGCTTAGATTGCATGTTCCCTTGTGTGTTTGCCTCTCTCTCCTATACTCACCTGGATAAAGTCTGACTTTGGGTGATCTCAACTATTTTTATTTCCCTTGTCTGAATCCAAGAACAAATTGTGGTTGAAGAAAAAAAAAATGGACAATCATACAGACTGGTTTCATTCTTAATTTCTGGCCTTACCCTCAAATAAGGCTCTCAAAACTGCCACTTTTTTTTTTTTAAGAATTTTTTTTTTAAGTTTACTCATTTATTTATTTTTTTTTTCAACGTTTATTTATTTTTGGGACAGAGAGAGACAGAGCATGAACGGGGGAGGGGCAGAGAGAGAGGAAGACACAGAATCGGAAACAGGCTCCAAGCTCTGAGCCATCAGCCCAGACCCTGACGCGGGGCTCGAACTCACAGACCGCGAGATCGTGACCTGGCTGAAGTCGGACGCTTAACCGACTGCGCCACCCAGGCGCCCCTAGTTTACTCATTTATTTTGAGAGAAAGAACATGAGCAGGGAAGGGGCGGAGAAAGAGGGAGAGAGAGAAAGGAAGAGAGAGAACCCCTAGTAGGCTCTGCACTGTCAGTGCAGAACGCAACACGGGGCTTGAACTCATGAACCGTGAGATCATGACCTGAGCTGAAACCAAGAGCTGGACACTCAACCGAACCACCCAAGTGCCCTAAAACTGCCATTTTTTTTCCCTAGGAAGTCCATTTTCTTACTCAAAGTCATCATTTGACACTGTCACTCTCTTCAAACCTCTAATTCACTCTCTTCCCTCAAAGTTGTCCTTGGCTTCATTGGGAAAATAGAAACCATCAAAGGGAAGCTCCATCTGCCTCCTGGGTAAGTCTACAAACCCACCTGCAGTTGGACCTATCTTCTCTGCTTTGTCTCTTGCTCTAACTAAGAACACATGTCCTTTCTTACAAAAATCCAAGACCTCTCACTTTGGAGCCATCTCCCTCCTCCTTTCAAGTTCTTTACTCCTTCATTCCTTTTCTCTCTCCATTCTGAGCTTCTGCCTATCTTTTGGATCATTCTCATCAACATAAATATGCTCTAGTTATTTCCCACCCTCAACAAACAAACAAAAACTTAACCTTGAAAGCTCCTCACTACAGTTAATGTTCTCCAAGGGTTCTCAAAGTATGGTTCCTAGATCAGTAGCATTCGTGTCACCTGGGAACTTATAAGAAATGCACATTCTCAGGTGTCACCCTAGACCTACTGAATTGGAAACCCTGAAGTGGGCCCAGCAATCTGTATTTTATGAAGCCCGCCACATAACTCTAACCCACAGTGAAGTCTTTACCTCTGCCATTCCACAGACCAGCAACACTGGCATTATGTGGGAGCTCTTTAGAAATGCAGAATCTCAGGCCTTAAAGTAGAATCTACATTTTGACAAGATCTCCAGGTAATTCTTGTGTATCTTAAGGTGTGAGTCATTTCCTTGGCTCCCATTCTTTCCTCAACCCATTACACTGAAACCGTTCTTCTCGGATCATTAATGACCTGTTACCAAATCCAACTGCCACTTTTCTGGATTAGAAATTGACATGGTTAACACTTCCCCTTTCTCTAAACACTCTCCATTCTGGAGTCCGTATCAGCACATTCTACTGGTTTTCTGTGACCTCTATGGCAACTCCCTCTCTGTCCTCATTGCATGTGGTTCCTCTACTTGAACTCTGTTAGTTCCTCAGGGCATGGCACTAGGGCCTCTTCTCTCTCCTACATTCTTCTGGATAATCTCATCTATGTCCAAGACTTAAATGCCATCTTATATTGAAAACTCCCAAATCTCTCACTGAAATCCCTTCTCTGAGCCTGACTGCCTTCCTAACATCTCCATATGAAAAACACATAAGCACCTTAAAGCTTAGCAAGTTCAAAACACCTATAACTATTCCTCTCCTTGTCTCTTATATTTCAATAAATGGACTTTCCATCCAATTGCTCAAGTCACACATCTGAGTATCACTTGTTTTCTCCCTTTCCTCCAGCTCCAGCCTCCTGGTCCCCATCCAAACCTATCAGCAAGTCTTGTAGTTTCCCATCTCCAAAATACATCTCTAATTCAACTTCTCTCCATTGCACTGCTAACATACTAGTCCAAATCATCCTCGTCACCAGCCTGCCTTCTTCTGCTGGTCTCCCTACCTCCTGTTTTGTGACATTCTTTTTCTTTTTTTTAATTTTTTTTTAACATTTATTTATTTTTGAGACAGAGAGAGACAGAGCATGAATGGGAGAGGGTCAGAGACAGGAAGACACAGAATCCGAAGCAGGCTCCAGGCTCTGAGCTGTCAGCACAGAGCCCGACACGGGGCTCGAACTCACGGACCGTGAGATCATGACCTGAGCCGAAGTTGGACGCTTAACCGACTGAGCCACCCAGGCGCCCCTGTTTTGTTACATTCTAATACACTCACCACAAGCATCCAATTCAATCTTTTAAAAATATAAATTAGATGACACTACCCATTGCTTTCAAATCCTTCAAGAAATTTCCTTGGTACATAAAATAAAATGCAAGTTTCCTATCATAGCCTACAAGGCTCAGATGACCTGACCACCAATGACCACTCTAACCTGCTCCTGCATGACTCTTTCCTTTCCCCCAGCCACTATGTTTTGAACATGCTGGCTCCTTTTAGTTCCTTCAACTCTTCAGACAGGCTGTTTCTGGTTCCTGAGCTGCTCTTCTCTCCCACCTCCACTCTACCCTACAGCCAAATCCTTCTTCTTCAAGCATTGGTTTAAATAGCCATCCCCCTCAGAGATGTATCAACAGGTCTGTTATTCTCTGTCACAACACCCTCCTTCTTGTTTCCTTCCTTATCCTACAAAA